CCTCCGCTGCAGCAGTCTAAGCATCACCTTCTATACAGTGTATAGGCAGTGAGGATGCTGAGGGGTATACCATCGCTGCAGCAGAGGAGTAGACAGGCTTCAGGGACTGAAGTAACTGCCAGCTCTGCAGTTCGGGTGAGTTAAATGTTTTTGTTTTTTTAGCACCTAGACACAAATGAGCACTTAACCATTGCGGTGTGGGGGTAGCCAACTGTACGGGTTAAGAAAAATGATGCCCAGAGTTCTGCTGTAAAGTAAATCTATCATGAGTAAAATATGGCAGGTTGCCATTGCTATCGCCTCCTTTAGAAATGCTTAGGTGACGCATGGGTTTCAATGCTTAGAGACTCAGCCCAAAACAAGTATTCGGATCAGAAATGGTGTTGAAAAAATGTAGAAGTCTTTCTCTGTATGCTTATTTTGGGTCAGTGACTGGAAATATTGAAACAAGTGAACCAGTATCACAGCCAGGAAATTGGCATTTTCAGAAATCATCAATGGCAACCTCCTTTTTTTCCTTATGACAGCTTTCCTTTAAAGTGACTATGTGCCCAGACTATGCACACTAAAGTTTTTACATATTCTGAAGAAGCAGTAAAAGAACTTTAACACAAGCCCTCACTCATCTCTGTAGCTACAGGCACTGTTGAGAAATGGAGCTTCAAAATTCACAATATCGATTAACCGATTAATCGAACTTAATAATCGGCCAACTAATCGATTATGAAAATAATCGTTAGCTGCAGCCCTACAATAGATGCACTGAAATCTTAGCTCTTTCATTATTGGTTTCTATTGCACCAAAATCTTCCCAGCCTGCCACTGTAAACATAAACAGCAGGCATTTCTAAGGTGCTGGAAGCTGTATGATCACAACTTACACACCTTTGTTGTGATCCTTCAGAGTGAATTACTTTACTGTACAAGCAGCTAGAGAGAACAGGGAGGCTGTGTTTTACAACTCTTCTACTGCTTGTTAAGAATATCATTTATGTTCATAGTCTGGGCACAGGTACACTTACGTTCACACCATTTCCTGGACCAGAGCTGGTCTGGGAAACGGTGTGAACCTGCCTGCAGTTCCAGTGCATTCCAGACCAGACAAAATGAGACATGAAGTATTTGGTCTTGGTATGGACTGCGCTGGTGTGAACAGAGGCCAGAAATAGCATAGGGATACATTAGGATACATTTTGGGTCCAGAAACAATCTGGTCTGGTCTGCAGATGATCTGGATGTGGTGGGACACAGACCGAATGTTAAAAAGTGGCTTATAACAGATACAGTTTAGAGATATGTCGGAACTACAGATTACAAAGGAAAGCATATAATCCCAATACTCAGCAAATATTGTAAAATGCTACTCAACCTGGCCATGTTAAGTAGGCGTGGCCTTATTTGGACTAGATCTCTGGTAAAGTAAGCTTGTATAAAGCTGGCCATACACCTATAGATTATCTGCAGATTTTCTAGGGTCAGATGGAAAAAGTGCCACAGATTCCTCCATCTGCGCTAAACTGTGTGGCTGTAGGAATCTCCCACTGGGCCAAGCTTCAGTATCTTGCTAGCTGGCCCTCCGCTGGCTCTCAAAATACCTGAGCAATGCCGGCTTCCAAACAGATTGTTCAGGTGTTTTGAGAGCCAGTGGGGCCGACTAGAAAGATACTGAAGCTTGGCCCAGTGGGAGATTCCTTCATCCACACAGTTTAGCGTTGGTGGGGGAATCTATTGCACTTTTTCCATCTGACCATAGAAAGTCTGCAGATAATCTATAGGTGTATGGCCAGCTTAACATATGTAATGAGGTTGCCTTTGCATTATTGAATTAGAGTCACTTACCTGGAATGAAAATGCAGATCAGGAGTTTTCATTTCATTCTAACATACGTGATCTGCATTCTTGTTCCTGGTTAGGGACAGTCTAGCATTTTAAAAAAAGAGTTCAGCAATGGCTGCCCTTGTATTTCTCTTGGTACACGGTTTGATTTAGAAATGCAATGTACTATAATGGTGCATATTGAGTTTATTTTCAGTATGAAGACATTTAGGCACGAGACGGGTGGCAAGGGTGTGGTAAAAAGAGGCTGTCCACCAAAAAAGCATAATAGTAAAGACTGCATGTGCGGTTAGCAGGTGGTGCCACTTGCCAGATGCGACAATTGCAATGAATGGGACTGAGCAGCAACCGGGTGGGTATGCGGTTGCGGCGTGATACTGCAATTAAAAATCCCCTTCGGGATGAAAAAAAACAGCATTCAAGAGGCAGCCTCTTGAACACCGTGCAGCTGCTGCTCTACTGCCCTTTTTGGAGAGGTAGTAAAGTCGGACACCCATCTGAACGGGCCAAATAATGCAAACTAAGTTACAGTGCACCTGTGTGTGTTACTGTGCACTGGGTGCGTTTTGCTGCCGTTCATTTGAACGACACCCCAACGCACCTCCCAGCCGTCGCAAGTTGCAGTGTAGGACTGTGCGTTGTGCTGCGGTGAAAGAAAATCAGTGCATGCATGAATATTGAATTTGTGCTGCATAACACAACAAACCTTTTTTCTTTCCAATTTCTAAATGATATTAGATGAAAAATCACAGGAGGGCAGGTGACAGATTGCAGGTAACGTGAACCCCAGGCAGATAGAAAAGACACAAATGAATGCAGCTAAGAATTCATTCATACATTATTATCTTTTAATGAAAGTAGTGTAAATACCTGAATATGGCTCGCAGTCTCTGTACCGCAGAGCTCAGACTGGGGGAGTGAAGTAGCACAAATAGTCAATCAATTGTGCTGCAGTACAAGGATCATGCTGCCAGGAAGAGAGAGCAGAGTGACATAGAGATGAGCTTAGCAGTCTGCTGCTCCTCTCTTCACTGTTCAGTCACAGGCTGGGGGAGGGACAAGACTTGTAAGTGTTTCTTAACAAGTTTGCTGCCCTTTCAGACAGGACTTGTCTACATGACAGAGCTGTGTAAATCTTAGGACTGGAAATACAAATCCTTTGGCAGGAAAAACAGCTCTCATTTACACTAGCCACATGTGTGAACGTGTGACGCAGTTTGCCGTGTTTGTGATGCGTCAGCATAGGGCAGCCCAATTATTTAAATGCTTTGCCTTATGTGCGACAAACGCAGCAAAGAAGCTCATGCAGCAGTTTGAGCTATATTTTGTTCACACACTGATGTGCGTCTTGCTTGCTGCATTTGGGGTGCCATTAATAAATATTTGTATGTACCGGTATAATCCTACATCTAGCCTTCTATGTATTGCACCTATGTATTCAATTTGCCAGGAGTTCAGCTTTTCATTCCTCCAGTAGGTATACAACAATATTTTCCAATTTTAGCCGTCACATTTTCAGCACGGACGCCAAAAGAATTGTATGGACGGGGAATTGTTATTGTCCTGGTTTTTCTGGCCGCTTTCAATGGAAAGGTCGGGCGGGATGCCGGAAGTACAGGTGCTATGTGTGATATGTCAAGATAGAAGACAAGTAAGGTCGGGGCAGGGTGGTTATAGAAAGCAGACAGGAATCGTTTACATCCAGGCTCTATACTCCAAGCCAAGCTTTCCAAAATACCGGCCTCGGGAATTATGTGTGACAAAGGTCATCTGGCTCTGTGACTGCCTTCATACCATTTCCAGGCACACTCATAAGAAGAGGTCACCATGGACATAACACACAGAGCACTGACACCAGTCCCGTGTCCTACATGACATCTATCCTTCTATCATTATCGTCTTTATATACCTCCAAGTAACAGAAAGTAACTCATTCAAGTCTTCTTTTCTAAATAGGAACATGATCTGTTCTTTGTATGTTCAATCTGTGAAGATTATTATTATACAGGATATATATATATACCGGTAGTGCCAACAGATAACAAATAACATTTCTCCAGGTGTCATTGTATACTGAATGTTAATAAACAATCACTTTCAAACAATTTCCCGAATTTTGTGTTAAAACTCAATATAAAAAAAAAAAAAACAATTCCGATGCTTAACATGAAGAATTCTTTTACTTTCCATGGTGCCTGTTCACATACGAGCGCTGTTACTTATAGCTCACAAAAGTACAGGAACTTCTTTTCGGGTTCAATACGAGCGAATGAAAAATGCCTGTAATGTGTGTTTTTAGTGCGATTTTGCGCCAACAACTGTCTCCTCCTTCTAATAGCTAGCTTTTCATTGGCTAAAGCCAAAAATGCTTAAGTCTGAAAACGCCTAAAAAAACACGCCAAAAAAAAAAGTGTGAATGGGAGCTAAAATGACATCACTGGGGTAAATTCATAAATACCCAGAGCAGAGAGAATCTAGAGCAGTTGCCCATGGCAACCAATCAGCTTCTGGCTTATCACATTTTGAAAGCTTAACTGAACAAGCTGAAGATAGGAGCTGATTGGTTGCCATGGGCAACGGATCAGATTCTGTCAGCTCCAGTTTTTATGAATTCCCTCCAATGTGTTGAGCTCAAAGATGATCTATGTATACTGCAGCCAGTTTTCTAATAGGTAGCTTACATTGTATACAGTGAGGGGAATCTATCAAGACTGGAGCAGACAGAATCTGGAGCAGCTGTGAATGGCAACCAATCAGCTTCTCTCTTTCATTTCCAAAGCTTAACTGAACAAACTGAAGAGAGAAGCTGATTGGTTACAATGGGTAACTTCTCCAGTTTTGATAAATCCCCCCCCCAGTGAGTGTTATCAGTGCAGGCTTTCACAGATCTGACATTGTTATTGTCCTAGCTGCATATACTCATCTCCCAATTCTAGCGACCTGTTTCCATTTGCAAAGTCACCTGTCATCACAATACATGCATATGATCATGTATAACCTAATACAGCATCATCAATAATCAAATCATCAATCAGTCTCCGATGAGTCACCTGAGTGTAGACTCTTCTCAGTACAGAACAGTCACAGTGTAGGTGATGTGCTCTTCTATGTGATCATACTGAACTCACGCCTTCCTCCTCAGTCTAGTGCTGATGACATCTTACCTGGCCATTCCACTACGTCCTTGTTATCATCTGCTCTATACAGTCAGCAGTTGCTGCTTCTGCTCAGGAAGAGTGACAGCGGCATAGCTCTGCCCCACAGCGCCTCCCACCAATCGCAGCGAAGGAGGAGGAGGGAGAGCAGGAACACGTTACTGTGACAACAGGAAGGAACTGGACTGGAGAAGTTTTTTTGGGGCAGACAGCAGAGCGAGATGTGTGCCAGTGTTGTCTCCTTTTATGGAGCCATCTTAATATCTCTGCAACATCTGGACAGGCTTTGACAAAATGGCTTCACTTTTTACCTCAGATCCTATGTTCTCCCCTGCTCTGTAATAGAAGGCTATTTGAAGCTCTGTACAACCTGGCAAGTTAGATAATAACAATAGGTTCAGTAACAGGGTTCATTGGCAAATAGACTGTTCAGTGTACAAGGGTTCCTTCGTCCAATCATGTGCAAGCAAACATACGGGGGTACTAAAACTGGAGCTGCTCCACATAGTAACCAGTCATCTTCTATCTTCATCTTGTATAGTTAAAGTGACATTATAGTCAATGGTAAGGATTTATGAAAACTGGAGTAGACAAAATGTGGGGCAGTTTGCCATAGCACCCAATCAGCTTCTTCTTCAGTTTGTTTAGCTAAGCATTGAAAATGATAGAGAGAAGCTGATTGGTTGCCATGGGCATCTGCTTCTGTCTTGATACATCCCCTTCAATGTGTTTTTAAGCTATTTCAAATGCTGATGGAATCACTTACATCAGATGCTGCTTTTAGTTCGAGCCCGTATTCACATCTGTTTGTTTGCTGAACGCGTGCCAAACGCACACAGAAACGCTGCAAAACGCGCTTGCATTGCCACTAATCTCTAATGACACCTCAAACGCACCCAGGGAGACATGCATTTTTTCCTCCACATTTGTGCATATTAAAACATGCTCATCCTGGGTGGAGACTTCAACCTCGCACTGGTGCCCTGTCTGGATTCCTCGTTCGGTAAGTCCCCTCTCTCGCACACATCCCTTGCTAAATTTTTTCATGTAGCCTGATATCCTCGTTGTATATGTACTGATTGTACTTTTTGTACCCTTCTTGAGTTTTGATACTGATTGTTAAGGAACTGTTAAAAAATACTAATAAAAACTGATTCAACACAAAACATGCTCAAACATGGAGCGCATGTCGCTAAATTTGCTATAGGAGCTTTTTTGCAACATTTGTCGCATGTTCAGGACCCCATTAAACTCAAAACACAGCACACAAACGTGCATGAGCATGCAAGAATAAAAGTCTTTGTTTCCTGCAGAATCAACTGGTTCCCTGAGCGCTGGTCCTGATATCCTGTTTTAGGGTGGTGTCTTTCCCTTGCAGGGTCCAATCATGCCACCCTTGTGTGTGCTACTAAGCTGTGTGTATCTCCATAAAAACACAGACATGGCAAGGGAAAACCTCTCCCCTGCTCCCTGCCCCTCCCTCCAAGCTAGTAGATGAATGGCTGTTGGAGACTGCTCTGTCCCTTGTGATCTTGTACTGGACAGGAAGTTCAGGGAAGCAGAGCTGAGAGAGTTGGAGCTATTTGGAGACATGATGACTGTGTTTGGGCAAAAATGTAAAGAAATCCTTTGCTGCACAATGCTGGACATTTGCAGGGGCTGTCCCTCTTCCTCAGTTATCCCTCATTTTGGTGGGATGTATTGAACTACCTAATGTATTATACTGCAGAGACACTTCATCTAACCTCTGAAAGATTATTCTTTTTTTTATTTTGAAACCCCAGTAAAAAGTTTTAGTGAAAAAGCCACTTGTGGGTGAAAACAGTCATTTGGGGTGTGCCCCTTGCCTACATACTTTGTACTAGAAGTTGTCCCGCTGTTATCTCAGAATGTTGGGAAGTATGCCTATAGAGATCTATGGAGCACTACTGTGCAGGTGCAGCCAGGACACCGAAGACTCTCTGAATATAAACAGTGGAGGCATGGTTGCAGAGCCGTAGCTAGCTCCTTTTGCGCTCGAGGCAAGAACAGAAAATTGTGCCCAACAACAGACGATGTTTGTCACCCGACGCCACGCACGCTTAGAATGCGCTGGTGGTCAAATACAAAATAGCATAAAAATTTGTTTCGTTTGATGAAACTAATGAAAACATTTTTAGTTTCCGTTCATTTTATCCGAAGTGTGTGTGTGTGTGTGTGGTGTGTGTGTGGTGTGTGTGTGTGGTGTGTGTGTGTGTGTCCAGATTTCCCACAAGGCCACCGAGGCCCGGCCTCGGGGAGGCAGAGCGCCGACGGGCGGCAGCGGTGACCTTGTGGGGAAGTGTACAAAGCATACAGAGGCTTCCCATTCTTTCACAAACTGGTGATAGTAAAAAAAAAATATTTACTACCATCCAGTTATCAATAGGTAGAATTATTTTTTTTCTATTCTGACACGGCTCCGTAGAAAAAAAACAAAAAAACGGGTTTCTCTCCTGGGCGGCCGGGAGCGGGAGACTCCCGGGAGAGTTTGCTGTCTGGAGATCAGTGTCCCTGGTTAGCAGGTAACCAGGGACGCTGATCTCTCTGCAAGTGACCAGAGCCAGCCATAAGATCACGGCTGGCACTGCCCAGCTGTCAGAAGCAGGCTGTCGGCCGGCCGCTCTGACAGCTTCGGCTTTCAGCGCGGCTCAGCAGAGGCGAGGCATATGCGTTCGGCTCGACTGAGCCGCTTGGCTAAGTTCGGGAGCTGTATGGGCTATTGTGAATAGCCCGTACAGCAGCCCTTCGGTTCTACTGAACCGAAGGGGTCCTGGGGCCGAAGCTACGGCTAGATCCTTCGGCTGCTTTGTGAATAGACCCCCATAGTTCCGCCTTGAGGGATGGAAGCTTTATTACAACGAGGCAGGATTTCTTTTTGGAGCCTTCAGGTTGGGGTTTTAAAGGGTAGAAGCTTAAAGTGATATATTAACATTTTTAGGCAATTTCAAACGCTGATCACATCACTTACAATGGATGCGGCTCCTTGATGTTTCAAAGTTTTAGTTTCCTGCAGAATCAGCTGTTCCCCTGTTCATTGGCCCCGATACCGTTTTAAGATGGCTCATTTCCATTGCAGGGTCGTATGGAGCCACCCTTTGCCAGCCTTCTTCAACAGTACATCTACTGAATATTATGTGTGGCCCTTCGATGACATCAAGGGGCCCTATATACACGGGGGGGGGATTTATCAAAACTGGAGCAGATTTGCACTGCAACCAATCAGCTTATCTGTCTCCTCTTCAAATCTTACCTGAACAAACTGAAGAGATGCTGATTGATTGCCATGGGCACCTGCTCCAGATTCTGTTTACTCCAGTTTTGATTAATTCCCCCCATCGTATGTTTACCACCACTGCTTTAGGTGGTTTTATTTTTTGGGGTCTAACTTTAGCAGGCTTTACGAGTCAAGTTATGAGCTTTAAGGATCAGAGGGTTTTAGTTAAGCGAGCACTAGTCGGGACCTTTAAGGGTCTGTGTCATTAGAGAATTTTAGGGCTCATTTACACAGTGTGCGGTGAGTAAAATTTTTCAGAAACTGAACACCAGCCACCACTAGGGCACATAGAAAACAATTGTTTTCACTTTTTTTTGCAGAGCACTGGACCACAGTGCACAGACCTGAATAGAGTGTTCAGTTTATACACTCCAAAAAAAGTAAATAGTGTGGTGCACTAAAACAGAGCATCACACCGCCAGACCTGTCAAACCACACTAAGGGGCCAACAATGGCAACAAACTGCAAGCACTGTTTGCAGATCACACTGGACCAGAACGCAAGCACTAATGTGGGTGCGGCATGGCTATAGTGCCATTAACTTAAATGCACCGCCACACCCCCTCCCGCAGGGAGTCGGACAGTTTGCATTCCAGATGCCGCTCTGGAACGTAGATTTTGTGGTGTGAACCTGGCCTAAGGCCTCGTTCATACCAGACAGTGCATTCCAGCCCGATTCTGGCCAGAACGCACTGCATTGCTGCCTCTCTATGTTGTGGGGCAGGAGGGGCGTGGGGGTCCATTGAAGTGAATGGCACTAATTGGCTGCACAGGAACACAAGGCACATCACTGCCTGCGGTCCGGTCCAAACAAAATGCTTCAAGCACTCTTTTGTTCAGTCCGGACCACAGGCATTGTGTGCCTTGCGTCCGATCGCTCTGCGGCCAGAGGGCGTAGCTATGGTGCCATTCACTTCAATGGCCAGCCACGCCCCCTCCTGCCCCCACAACATAGTGCGCCGGTCGCAATGTGATGCAGTGCGGCCAGAACGCACTGTGTCTGGTGTAAACGAGGCCAGAGTAGGGCAGGACATTTGAACTTTTTAACCTGTACAAAAACTTGGGATATAATGCAAAACTAAACTAGGATGGCTCAGATTGTGCACCTGTTTGCACAAGCTGCTTCCATGTAGCAGTAGTGTGCACCTGTTTGCAAAAGCTGCTTCCATGTAGCAGTAGTTCTGACTTGAGGGCTTGTTTGTTCTCCCAGATGTGCTAATGTGGCCTTGCTTGTGTGCGCGCGCATTGCAATGCATCTGTAAAAGGTCTCTGTACAGAAGACATACTGGGAAACGATCAGTCATAGAACCTACGGATGGTCGCAGGATAGTGGAGCTCCGGCACAGCTGAAATCCTAGGGCTGAATCCTTAGCACAGAGGACTCCCATGATACTACCCATGTGTGCCCCTGACCCCAGCGACCGTCGGAGAGAACGAAAATCTAAGAAAGGCCCTCGGAAACTTACTGAATTTTTCCGCTCGACGGGCTCGCCGCGGACTCAAGATGGCGCCGGCTCGTCCAGCACCCTGTCCTCTCTGCAACTCTCCGACAGCCGTAACGAGCGGGAGCCGAAAGGAGGTGGGAGCCAGGTGACCGCCAACCCGGCAAAATCCACGCCCAGACTGGACTCTGGGGGAGCGCAGATACGGCCTGGGGAGGGGGACGAGCGGTCTGGCCCTACTGTGCATGTGTGTGAGGAGATGAATAGCACCATTGAGGATTGTCCCACTGCTGATCGCCCCCTGCTGGACACTACCCTAGGGGACGTGCTTGTGTCTCTTGGGTGCTCCCTGCATAGAGATGTGCTTTTTGCTGCTGAGAAGGGATGTTGACGCCCTGGGAGACGGAGTCGTCCACGTCGAGGACAAGATGGGGGATTATGCGGAGGCCCATAACGATCTTCTCGTCTACCAACTGGCACAGTAAGGTTCTCCGTTGGGGATTAATGGCGGTTAAGATTGTACAGCGCTCCTGCACTTGTATCACGCTGCCGTTCAGAGGCGACACCCGGAGCTTTAGGAGAAGCTGCAGGCTCTCTACATCCGCGTCTTGTCACCGTACTGCTCTACAAAGATGGCGCCGGTGTAGTCGGCTGCCGTCACGACTGCTCTGCAGTCGTGTAAGCATTTCACTGCATATCATACTTGTACGATTGTGTATGTGACAAATAAAATCTATCTACATGTAAGCCTTCTTCTACAACACAGCACTCAAGGGGAAACAAACCACATTTATTTGCGTGCTTTGGTACACGTTCCCACGTACTCTGCCCAATCCATCTAAACGAAATAATCCATTTTGGGTGGGAACCTGCTAGATCCACATCTTAAGGGGATTGCATATGAGAACTGTACTAAACAAATGTGGAACCGGTATTTTATTTGGGTTTGTTTTTCATTTACATAAGAAACCATTAACGGGAATCCTGGGTGATTAATATGGGACTCGACAGAACCTTTTTAATTTGGTCTAGTTTTCATGTGGTAGTAAAAATGGCTAAACCCATAACGCACCATCACTGCATTTCAAGTCATGTCCAAAGGGGAATTGTACAACAGGATGCCTGCTATACGATGATAGAGTAAAGGGAATGCATTATCCTGAAGCTCTATTATTCCCAACTACATTTATATAAATCCTCCTAGCTATTGTTTTAGGGCCAATTTACAGCCCTAAAACATGTACATTTACTATGTAGACGTTCAGCCTATTCATTTTCAGCAAGCCTTAAACCAGTGTGTTCACATACCCAATATGTTTTTACCCTAATGTAGTGGATTGTGTACTCATTCAAAATAGGATGACCCACAAAACACACATACAACTCATTGTGTGTGGCAATGCTCATCAAAGTGTGAAGCCAGCCAAAAGGTTAGCTCAAAAGCAATAATAAAAAAAAAATTAATACTACACACACATGAATTAGAATTTTGTTTAAAACTAAATCTCACCACAAAAAAAGTTTTATATTTTTACATTGTTTATTACAAAACTAAAAAAACACAACCAAAATACACTTAGTGCCTTTAGACATATTTAGCTTATTCATTCACACGACTGATTTAGCTTGTTTACCTCAACACAAACAATTCCTGATCTACAGGAGCAACACAAAACAATTACAGATTTACAAAATATGTATAAACATTTTTGGCATTTTAAAGTGTAAAAGAAAAAAGAACTGTTAAGGCAGTTAGTCTATACAATGAGAAATCCTACCTAAAATGCTCAGGGTTAAGGGTTTATTTCTATAAAGCAATCGCTGTAGTCATTACACTTTCCGAAAGTCAGCTGTAGTGTGCATATTAGAATATCCCTTTACCAATAATAATAAAAATAAAAACTGAAAAAGGAAGGACTCTAAATTACTTTGTTATAAATTATAACTTTTGTTGCCTCATAACATATACTTTTATCCTCCTTCCATATGGGGCAATATAGGAAGGGGGGCAAATTGGTCATAGATGACAAATATTGGTTTGACTAGGGTCCTAGGTGCTATGAAGGGGCATTGCTGTGAGGCATGTAGGTAAGAGAGGTCTATCCATCAGCTTTGAAGGAAACTGGTGCTAAAATGTGTAGGTTACCATTACAAAAATAAGCTTCTTATTAAAATAGTACCTGCCCAGCTGTTGCACTTATCCATTGCCTTCAGTAACTGAAACAAGTATGCAAATAAGAAGCTCGGACTTCACTTGCTACATGTTCCAGATCAACGACTCCGTATACGCTGATCAGCCACAAGATGGTTAAAACCAAATCTAGAATCAGGCAGGCATAAGGCAGTGTATATATAGCAGTACTCTGGCTGTGATGGGCAAATACCTTTAATATTTAATGAATGAAATGACCAGTTCTATAT